TCCGTTTCCACGGTTACGGCGGCGCGAGACGGTGCCACAGGTAAATCCTGGTTCAGTTGAAAAATGAAACCTGAGGGACCGAGGCTGCAGGACGCGGGGGACCGGGAGAGAGGGAAGCGGGCCTGACTCGGACGCGGGAGGAAGGCCGGCCCCGCGCGTGCCCTCCTGCGGCTCTAGTCCGTTCCGCCCACCATTCCCGTAGGATGTTGCCCGTCCACTAGCGCCCTTCAGCCCACGAACTGGCCTGGACCCCCACACCCTCCCTTGCCTCCGCCAGCTGCCTCACTCTTCCCATCCCAAGTGGCGACCTCACTCACACGCCTGAAGTGACTGGCCTGGAGGCCGCTGCCCAGATCGAGGTCAAGATGATCGTGTGATCCTGAGCGCCCCTAACGCACCGCCCCGTGGCTCCCCACAGAGCACTTGACACCCACTTTCCTCCCCAGGCCTCTGTAGCCTCCCTGGAGGGCCTCGCACCCGAGCCAAGGTCGTGCTTCCGGCGAGTTCTCCCCTAAGGATGCAGCCACCTTGGGCCAGTGTGGGGTCAAGGCCTGACGACCCGGAAGTAGTTGGCCACATGCTAGCGGGTGAGTGGGGCTACAGAGGCCCCAAACTGGTGCGATTCATGACCTGTAGACTTATTTGCCTTTCACAGTGTCTAACATTTTCTAATTTAACTTACAATATCTGAAGGTCGGCTGATTTTATGTTAAAATTCAGTGTGTGGTTTTGCTTCAAAAATTGGGGAGAGTCGAGCCGGTGTGGTTCAGTGTTTGAACTTCGACCTAGGAACCAAGAGGTTCTGGTTTGATTCCCGGTCAGGGCACATGCCGGGGTTAGGGCTTGATCCCTAATAGGGGGCATTTCTCTCATTGATGTTTCTCTCTCTCTCCCTCTCCCTCTCCCTTCCTCCCTAAAAAATCAATTTAAAAAGCATATATTTTTTTTAATTGAGGCGATCTGGGGACAGTGGGCCTGTGTTCCCACGTACCAACAATCTGCCATAGCTGAGAAGTGGTTGCTCTCTATGGAAGGCTCTACAATTTGCTATGGTCCTCTCTCCCTCTCCCTTCCTCTCTAAAAAATCAATTTAAAAAGCATATTTTTTTTTAACTGAGGCAATCTGGGGACAGTGGGCCTGTGTTCCCACATACCAACAATCTGCCATAGCTGAGAAGTGGCTGCTCTCTATGGAAGGCTCTACAATTTTCTATGGTCCTCAAAGCCAATGTCAGTTACCATTTATCATCAGGCTTGAGCTATTATTTCTCATCTACACTAATAAAAGGGTATTATGCTAACTAGACCGGGAGACCTTCAGGACATCCTTCCGGACAAAGCCATGGTGGTGGGGGGAGGTGAGTGGGGCTACAGAGGCCCCAAACTGGTGCGATTCATGACCTGTAGACCTATTTATTTGCCTTTCACAGTGTTTAACATTTTCTAATTTAACTTACAATATCTGAAGGTCGGCTGATTTTATGTTAAAATTCAGTGTGTGGTTTTGCTTCAAAAATTGGGGGAGTCGAGCCGGTCTGGTTCAGTGATTGAACTTCTACCTAGGAACCAAGAGGTTCTGGTTTCCCAGATTGGAGAGGGTGCAGGCCAGACTGGGAACACACCCCACTCCCCCCCCCTGCACGAATTTCATGCACCAGGCCACTAGTAGTAAATAAAGGTCAACTCTCTTTTTGCACCTATGTCTCTGTCAAAAGCGGGAAAACAAAAGGTGGATTGAGAGCATTGCATATTTCAAGAAAAGTGGGAAGGAGCACATTTCCTTGTGAAAGTAAAGAATAGCCCTGTGTGTTTAATATGTAACCAAACTTTGTGTCAAAAGAATACAACTTAAGGCAACATAATGAAACAAACCATAGTAAGAATTTTGACTGGTATACGGAAAAGATGCGTGATGAAAAGCTTAATGAGCTCAAAAAAGGTCTAAATCTACTTCACCATTTATCATCGAATACAAACAAAATAAGTGATGCTGCTGTGAAATGCAGTTATGTAAAAAGTGAAAAAAATTGCCCGAGCATAAAAACCTTTTACACATGGTGAGTTTATCAAAGTCTGTCTGCTGAGGCAGCGGAAATCATGTGTCCTGAACAGAAACAAGCATTTGCAAACATAAGTCTAACTGGAAACACTGTTGCTCAGAGAGTAAAAGATATGCCTGAAAACTTACAAGTTAAAAAAAAAAAGTGGAGTTCTTTGTGACATTTTCTCTTGTAGTTGATGAGAACACATAAATAACAGGAGCCACTTAATTATATTTATCCGTGGTGTTGATGAGAATTTTGACATCAGGGTGGCTAAGGCTCACAGTGCAAAGAGGCAGGCCTCTGCAGAGGGTCTCCCTTGGGTCTTCAGGTGAGTTCTGATCAGTGCATGAGTGACTGGAAATCACCCAAAGCCACGAGAAGAGCCACCAGGAGGGATCATCAGGAAGAATTCCCCGAGATCACACAGGCCTGGGATCCCACCAGCCAGAGCGGAAAAGCAGCCAAAGAAAGAAGACGTGTTACATAAAAAGGACCGACGATAAGGACAACAGCACATTTCTCATTGGAAGCAATG